GGGGAGGCAGACAAGTTTCCCTGGTTTTGGCCAGAGTGGCCACCAGGGCAAGCTGGGAAGGGTTAGCCTCCCACTAGTTCGAATTAAGTGGCTACACAGCCCTTAATTCGAACTAGCTAATTCGAACTAGGCGTTAGTCCTCGTGGAATGAGGTTTACCTAGTTCGAATTAAGCGCTCCGCTAGTTTGAATTAAGTTCGAACTAGCAGAGCGCTAGTGTAGCACCTATCAAAGTTAATTTGAACTAACGTCTGTTAGTTCGAATTAACTTTGTAGTGTAGACATACCCATAGAGACACAAAGGTGGTAATGGATAAGTACAACTAAAGGGGAATTAAACATCAAGGACATGTTTACACTTGGAAATTATTTCGAAATAACTCTAAAATAACTATTTCAAAATAGCATGTCCACACTAGAGAGAAAACTCGACATTAGTCTGAGACAGGCTCACTCAAAATGGACGTGCTACCTTCACTTAGAGCCCAAGGAAGCACTGGGGAATAATTACTCTGAATGACTCTGGGGAATAGTTATTTCAAAACAGCAACAGTGGAGCATCCACACTACCGCTATTTCAAAATAACTATTTCAAAATAAGCATTATTCTTCATGGAGAAGTTATTATTTCAAAGTGATATCTGTTTTACAATCTCAATCTGTCCCAAGCTTTCCAAAACTAAAAAAAGTAAAAATGTCTCCACCACTTTTAAAAACTTCAGCGGAGAAAATATTTCTGTGTGGTGGACATACATATATTCTTCAACACTTGGATCCTTGGATCATTATGCTTGTTATGCATAATTATCTGCTATGGTCATTTTAGCCTTTCTTGTGAGGCACTGCCAAAGATAGGATGTTGTACTAGACAGTCTGATCATATATGACAGTACATATATGTGTCTACATAAAAAGCAGAAAGTAAACCTGAGTAGGAACTATGGTATAAGCAAAGTGATACATTTCCCAAGCTAAGTGAGAAACGTAAAGTAAACCAACAGCATACATCGGAAAAATCATTTAAAATTCTTTCATTTTGAAGATGTTATTAGTATCACAAATAAAGAAATATGTTTTCAACTATATGTATTTTAACTTCCTCTTAAAACTTGTGGTGTCCAGTTTTGGGGTAAAGGAGTCAGTTTCCTGCCTGAATTCAGGAGATGTTTACAAGTATACAGAAAATATATTAGTAAGATAGAGCATTATAACTTATTAAAATTCTTTCTCAGCTACTGTTTAAATCTCCCATTTCTTTATCACTGGAAATTCCTAGGCTAGACTATACGGGAGATCAAGGTTTTCTGTACTGTACAAAACTCCGTTAAGTTTAATTTGGTTTGGGGAGGATGCACTAGTGTCTGTTTATATAGCTTTTGGCCCAGACCATAAATTAAATCTGAAAAAGCTGTAATGAGCCACTAATTTATAGACTATTAAGATTTTTAGGTTAGAAGTGATTCTTTAACTATTTGAATAAAGAACACATGGTTATAAAGGACAAACAGATTCAGCATAATAGTATATTTTTGTCCCCATATATTTTGAAGGCAGTTAACAAGTATGGCATATTTTTGCATATCTGTTGCTCTCCTGAAATAGAATCGCTAACCACTTGTTAACCACACTGATTTTTTAATAGACAAAGTGGTTGCTCATAGCTTCCTGACCAGATTAAGCACACTATTAAGATTGCAGCTAGAATAGTCTACACAACAGGAAGAAAACCTTGACTTTCTCTGCCTCCTTCCCTTGTTTGTATTGATGTGATAATTGATTACAGATTTTCTCTTTCTTTGACAGAGTGTCTATTGCAGAAATGGGATGACTTTTCTAGCCTGCTAATATGGATGTGGCTGCAGCGACACGAAAGGCAGTGTGATATTAAGGTGATTTTCTATTCCCCTCCATGGAAGAGAACAAAATTACAAGCTCTAGTGTGTCTGTGTACCAGTGAGTGGGCTGGTTTGTTGTGACTATCTACTGGCTGACTCTGTCTCTTTTCCAGCCCCCTCAATCATTATTCTTGTTTACTAGCTGGAATGTTAAGCTAATTAATGGCAGGATGTTTGGGATAGTGTGTAGGTGGACAAGAATGCAGATCACACAATTTTGAAATTTGTAATGGGCTTACTGCTGTCAGCCCCCATATCCAAAGTGCAGTGTCATTTTTATTTTTATTTTGAAGTCTGTATTTTTTTAATAGATGTGTTGTTTTGTAAAGCAAGTTTAAGGCAAAAAAGATGCCAAAGATTTGGATGATTAATTATGTTTTCCCTGTGTTTTCAAAAGTACAACTGCATTGTTTTGCATTTAATTCCTCTCAGATCAGTTTCTTAGACAATGCTAAACCAATAATACTCTATCTAGCCAAACAAGGGATTTTTCATTGAAAATGATAAGGCTTTTCAGATAAGAAAACTTCAGATAAATGACTTCATGTCTTAGTGTTTCAGGTAAAAGAAATATATTTGAGAGACACAAGGAATACCTATATTGAAATCTATAATTCTTAATATTGAAATCTCTTTTCTCGTCTTCTTTCCCCTGAAGACAGTGGGAGTCTTATTATTGATATTAATGATCACTGAATCAGGCCTTTTGGCCCTAGGTCACAAGGTACTTAAAACTAAGTAACTAAGCATATTGTTTTGTTGACTTCAGTGGGGCTACTCAGAGTCTTAAAGTTATGGCCCTGCTTAAGTGCTCTGCTATACCGGAGAAAAACTAGGCCCTTATTTATCTTTAATTCCTCTTGCTCCACTTTTGTTTTGTTTATTTTGGGGGCTTGTTTTGTTTTGTTTGTTTAATCTCTGGCTTGCCCTTTACCCCTCTTCTCTGCTCTTCCAGTCTTTGATAGTCTCACAAGCACATTCACTTCTTCCCATGAAAAGTGTACATATATAGAAATAACTAAAGTCATTCTTGAGGAGACAAAAAGGCTAGGGACTTCATTCTGTATCAGAAGCTACTACTGTGTACCATTTGTGCCCCTAGGGCATCCCATGAGGACAGAAGTCAGTGCTAGTGTGTCCCAAAGCACAGGCAGGGCCTCAAAGACTAAAGTAAACCTTAAAGAAAGACGGAAGACTCAAGAGACCTGGGAAATCAACTGACTGTATTACTTCCATACAGTGTAAGCAGTTTCCTTTGTGCTTAGTATGTGAGGTTTCAACTTCTACCACTCCTCTGATACACTCTTATAATTTATAAATATTTTCATTAGACAGTACCTGGACCCACTTGTGAAAAAAAAAATAAACTAAAAACATGTGTGTCTTCCTTGTGATCAAAAAATTGCAAAGCATTGTAAATGTAATCACAGTGCATCCAATATTACTGCCATCCAAACTGCCTCCTTTTTTACCTGCTACATGCCAGTCCTTCTGGAAATAATCTGTATGTAAAGGACTAAAAATAATGTGTACAATACAGTATATTAAAAAAGAAAAAAAGTTTTCTGATGTTCCATCTGTGCTTGTGGAAATGTATGATTAAACTTTTCTTTTTATCATCATTCCTATTTTTCTTGGCGTCCCTAATCATGGAAAATTATATGCTTGCAGTAAACATCCAGACTTTTTAAAAGGACACCAGCATTTATTGTATTTGGTTTCGATCTGCAAGCATATAGACAGAAGAAACCATTTCAGGCACTGGGTACTGGAATCCAAATTCATTCCTTAGCTGTATCTCTTCCATATTATACGTTTTAAAATATGCATAAGAAGGAAAAATTCTGGCGCTTATATTTTACTGGTCTACTTAAAGTCTCAGAGAATGAAGACTCAACATACATTTCTCTCAGAAATATGACAGATCATGTTTTTGTTGGTCAGCTGTATGTTTGTCTATCTTGAACAGTTTGACAGGCAATTATTTATAAAATCTGGGTTTTCCCAGTAAACCCATATAATAACTTTTCACTTCTCTCCAGAAGCCAGTGAGCAGAATTTAGAATAAAACAAGGTGGGTTATGTCTCCCTATCTTGGACTAGGCTAGATATTCATAGAATTGGGGAATATTCATTTATATATTTTTCCTGTCGCTATGTAGTCCTTTCTCTGATTCCCTCCCTAACATAAATGATGGCAATGTTAGTGAGCATCATTGATGCCATTTTTCTATAAAAGTTCCTATGCAACATGGAAAACAAAGGAACATTACACAAAAATTAAGACAATAATGCATGGGATGATTTTGTATCACTTAGGAAAATTTGTAGCTGATGATCAAATGTAATGCCATATATTAACAACTTTGTTTTACATTATTTTAATTGGTAAATGCTGAGTCCCATAACAGGTTTTATAATATTACAACCAGTATTTGTAGATCAGTCATCATGCTATAAATTAACTGAACAAGGTGGCGACAGTGGGTAAAAGCCTGTCAGTGGAAGTTTTGCCATTGATTTCCCTAGGGCCAAGATTATACTAATGAGTAAAGAACAGGGCTGGAGTAGGAGAACATTGGTTTTATTCATAGCTCTATTTCCGAGTTGCTGTGTGGCTGAATCTCCTATGCTTTCCATACCTCAGTCGACCTATCTGTGAAACGGGAAAAGTTACATCTGAATTTTTAAACCAGTTTGAAATCTTTAGATAGAAAAAAGGTATTAAACGCAAAGTGCATTTCTAATTGGAGGTTATCTGGTCTTCACACACAGTATGAATTGTCACTCTTCTTTTTGTAGCTCCCACCAAATTCAGTGTGAACTGACTGATGATGCTCTGAACTTCTGAGGATATGCTTAGCCCTTTGCAGGATCAGACACAAGCAGTGTTTTTCAGATACTGTACCACTGGTCAAATGACAATCACTTTGCAAAGAATTATTTTCCAGCGTGCTCTGATTTTAAATGGGATCTTACTGCTGTATTAATATTCTGCCATCAGTCATGTGCAGATCTTGTGAAATATTTTATAACTTCCTGTCTAGGTCACACAGAATATTTCATAAACACTTCTACAAATAAAGAATAAATAGAGTATGACATATGTCACAGGTCTACCCCCTAGTTAAAGCCTATTCTATTACAGTTGTATAAGTGAATCTTCTTGTTTTAGAGTCCAAGGTTTAGGCTTTTTATACCCCTACGGTACATCTGTACTGAACAGCAATACAGCTAGTGAAACGTGGTGGCATGCATTAAATCCTGGGCTTTATTCAACAGGCACCAAGCCAGCATTGAGCAATGAAACCGTCCCTGAAGGAACTGAATGTAAATTTGATGGTTTAAATAAGGCCAGATGCCTTTTTAAAAAGCTACTATTATTTTAAAGGCTGAATCTTCTAATGCAACTCTTTATTTATTGTGCTTGAAGACAATGACATTGCTTTAAAGAAAATCCAATCCGTTGTGAAGTAGCAAGAATAAGTTCCTTAAACTTTCATAAATAATTGAAATGTTGGCAAGTGAACCAAACTTTATAAAGGCAGATGATTGCAAATTTGAAAGAAACTTTCATACTTTATTGTTAGGAATCATTTTAACTCCCTAAAGAGCACTCGGAGCCAATACAGTAATTGCCTTTCTCGGTAATCAAGCCCCATACATTTATTCATCATTTTTCCTAAATAAAAGGGATAAGTAGGTATCACAGCCAGAAAGATAAATGGGGAAAATCAAGAGCTGAGCTTATAATAATACAGTTTTATTTTTCATTTCATAGCTTTTGTCTGTATTTATTGATAATTCGTCGGAATTCCTATTGGACAGAAAACCTTTCGACTGATGAGAATCTCGCATATCACACTTTTCGTCCAGATGTTCCAAACTTTCTCACTGACTGTATGAAGAAGTGTCGAGCATAGGGAATGTTCCCTCTAACTTTTTCCTTCCATTTGCAGAATAAATTTTGTTATGTGCACCCAGGCATGTGCGGATGGGTACCAACTAACAGAAACACATGCTGCTGGCTGTGAGAGCTGTAGGTTCTCTTCTAATCAGCCAGGTGGCGCTTGAATCTCTCCTGAGCTGCCACCCAAGTGCGCTCATCTTACATGGAACACTGATTCATGGGCCTCGTCCATGCTGATGGTGGCATGAGGGGTCTATATAGCTACAAGTAGCAATGAAAAGCAGGCTGCATCCATACATAGTTACATGTGGCAGTGAAAGTCTCTGGCAGGGGGGTAATAACAGGGAAAGACTCCAGCAGCTCTCTGCAAATAGGAGCTCCCTGTTGCCAGAGCCTTTCCCCACTACCAAAGTCTTCCCCTGCAGTTGGGAAAGACTCTTGCAGCTCCCTTCGACCGGAGCCTTTCCCCACTGAAATCAATGGGAGTTAAGCACCACTAGGCCGCTTTTGAAAATCCCACGAAAGTGTCTGCCTGTTTCTTTAGGCCATTCAATAAAGGTAAAGATCTGGCCCTAAGTTACTTGCCTAAGATCACAGAAGAAACCTGGGGGAATGCAGGGAATTGAACCAGGATCTTCCAAGGCCTCTGGGACACCCTTCATTTCTGCATAGTGAAAATACCACAGATGTCTTAATTGTGCACAGCTCAGCCCAGTCACTGAGGACTTGAGGTGGCAAATACAGTATCCTGCTGGAGCTTCGAGGCAAATTGGGCAGGAGGAATGTAATTACTCAGTTTGGAAATTGTCCAGGACACAGTAGGTAAAATCCTTTCTCTCCTAATAAATGCCACAGGCTCTGTAATAATCACAGCTTGTAAGGACAGAGGCATTATTCGTCATCAAAGAGATGGCTGCTCCTGCAGTATTCAGTCCCTTAAAATCATGCTGCCAATCTCTGACAGAAGATGGCAAATTATTTAATCAACACCACTTCCTCCATTACCCGATTGTCCTCCCCACAATTGCTTGTCCAGATATGAACACAACCTGCCTATGCCTAGTGTATGAGAGCTGGCCAGGGTCAGATGGCAGGCAACAATCGTACAATTTTTAAAAACCTGCTGTGTTCTAGACGGGGCAAAAAATGGGCTAGTAAAACTACAAGTAGAGAAAACCTGGGTGACTTCACAGGCAGATTAATTGACAAATATGAATGTGTTTGGTGGTTTCACCCTATTCTTATGTTCACACTGCAAATTCACCATGTAGCTTGGTGTACTTCACCTGATTTTGACAATCTTTGCTAGAGAGAACCCTGGGACTGTAACAGCAAAGGTGTTGCAAATCACGACTGAAGTTCCAATTCAGCAAAAGCAGCAAAGCTGAAACCAGACTTTAATCACAGAAATAAGTTCTAAATCACTTTGCAAACCTAAATTAACATGGACTTTATGCAGGAATCACTTCATTTGCTTACACAGCCACCTCTGAGGTGAAATGCAGGTGCTGTTCACCATCACGCAGCAGCTCCCAGCACATCAGGGGAAGAAATGAAAGACATCTGAGTGGCAAGGAGGATTTTGGAAGGGAAGAGGTAATTATCCAAGTGCATTATTAACTCTCATTTCCACAAGTAATCCGCAAAATAAAAACCCCTAGAGATTGTTACATTTCTTGTGCTGATATGATTTCTTCTGAACCCTGGAATCAAATGATGGCTAATGTGTGGTGAACTAAGATGGTGAGTCAAAATAGAAAACTGGACAAACAGCAGCTCTGTGGCTACCACATGTCCATCAGAAAGAAGGTCCACATAGAGCACAGATGCCATTAATAGGGCCCTGTGACTATAGGACAAGCCACCCTGGTTGCTGCAGTTGAAAAGGCTGAATTTTGTGCTATGTGGACTCCTCTTGCTGCAGCTTCAAGTGAACAGAGTTTTTTTTTATTGAGGAGACATGATAGGTTCCTTGTGTCACCCTGCATGTATTTGAATGTTAAACTCAACACAGATCTAAGTTTTGGAATATTTTTAATGTTATGCCGCTCCTGAATTTTCAGTATGCCCCATTTTTTTGTCTAGACCACACACACATGCATTGCACCAGTTTTTGCAAGTCAGTTTAGGTTTTCGGCACCATTGAGCTTTTTTTTGCACGAGGGAGGAGGGTCATTGTCATCTTTTACCTGACCCCTGCAGGGCACTGGTGGATGTGACTTTATACTTCCGTGGGACTTAATTCTCCTTAGTTTCCCAGCTGTACAACTCTTTAACACTGCTTCCAGCCTATTTTGCAACATCTGGGGCTTTGTCCCATGTTGTGGATAATGACTATTGTTTGCAGCTATAGGGGTTATGAACTTAGTTCATCCTAGAAGAAAACTGAGATTCTGCAACAGATTCCACGTTGCATTGCTCCTTGCATTATTATGCTACGGGAGCAGGAGCAGTGATCTACGCTTGATAGCCCTGCTCAGCTGCTGTGTCCCAAAGAAAGCCACCATGAATCTTCTCTGGAGCAAACCTTCCTAGAAATAGGAAGAAAACAGAGGGCCACTGGATGGTCAGGAAACAAATGGAGAGGTATCTTCTGCCTCAGGAGTATAGATGCTCCACAGAGATCCTAAAAGGAGAAATAGGTCTTGCCTCCTTCAAAAATATCCAAGGAAGAATGGACTTGCCAACCACCT